ATGTTTCTCATATTAGAATTGTTTATCACTTAAAGCGTGTTTGGTAGAGATTAAAATCGGATTAAAATTGAAAAACTAGCCGTTATTGTTGACTTTTATTAGACGGGTGGGACCCAATAACAGCTATATTTTCAATTTTAATTGGATTTTTAGTGTTATCAAATAAGCCCTTAATATAAATTAATATAAATTTGTGCATCGCATCGTGCATCGCACGGGGGAAAGACTAGTTACAATCAAAGAGGATAACCCAAATCCCGAAATGATCATACAACACAACTAAATCAAGATTTAAAATCGGAGGTAGAGGACTAAAGTTGGGTCACGAATAGAGGCTTAAACAATATAGCCACACTGAAGCAACAATTTTACGATCCATGAAGCTATGTATCCGATACTCACTGTCTTCATTGCGATGGTCATTCTTTCTCAGTTGGGCTTTAAACAGGAGTTGGGGTTGTTGGAAATTGGTTTATATAAACATTGGTTTTGTATTAATTTCGGCCAAATATTTGGATAGGTTTCGGTAGTCAAATCGCGCGTATGAATAAATTAACTTGTTCTACTCCTCGAGTAGATGATCACGGTATGTTTCAATTCACAAAATCAATTTCGGATGAATGAGAAATTGATGTCCAAAGTGGGGTTGAATAAAACGAAACACTACTAATATGACTTGACCGCTCGAGCGGTGGATCTGCAACAAAAGAACGATCTTAAGAGTTGTGTATGTTCGTGAAACATGCTGAATTTTGAAGCATGTCTCTTCGGCCACAACCCGTCAACTTCTATAAATTGGATATCTTTGGCGATTTAAATTCATTTCCATATCATATGCTTTGATCATATTACTCCCAAATCATTGCAAAATTTATAGTTTTTTTTACATTAAAACCATTCAAAGTAGAGAGTACGAAACCATTTCCAATTTGTCGTTCCTTAAAGTTTGAAGTGTTTCTACTGCAAAAAGGAAATCATTGTATCTTGGAAGACAAGTGTCAAAACTCCGAAAGCACCTTGACGGAGCAAATTCGTCTTATAGACATAATGTTAAACACTAGGCTCGGCTTACAATTCCTTTGTTCTATTTGTCATTTTCTGTATTTCGATTGTAATTCTAAGGGGGTGTTTGATGGATATTATTGAGTAAAGAATGTATTTTAAATAATGATATGATGAGAAATATGTATTTAAAAAGTAAAAAAAAATTTATTGATGTCATGAAAAATATTATTTTATTGAAAAATATGTGATTGAAAATGAATTTTGAAAAAATATATTTTAAAAGAATGGTGTGAAACAGGGGTGAAGTAAGTTTTACTCTATTTAAATTATTCAAAATATGTTTATCATTTCACACACATAATCAGCAATGGGATAAGGTTAACGTGTCTTGCTACCATTTATCACGACAAATTGCCCAATGGTCCCATCCAAAATTGGAGAGTCCAAGTTGAACACGTGATTTAAACCGGTGGGCCGCCTTTGCTTTTATGATTGTGGGCTTGCGTGGAAGTGAAATTTTAAAACCAATTTTTTTCTGTTCATTACAGATTCTTTTAAAAAATTATTCTTCACAATCGTACTTTTTAATCACATATTTTTTTATCAAGCAGTGACAGTGATGATACAAAAGAAAAAAGAAAAAAAATGTTACATGAGTTTACATATAAAAGGAATGCATATGGTGTAGCAAAATAGAATTTCGTACCATACTCGATTTATATCTTTAAATTCTATTGCAATATAACTATAAATCATTTGACACGATTTTTGCTTTTGCTTTCGTTTCTTGTAAAAGAGTTTTTTGAGAAAGTTTCTTTAGACCAACTTCCTTTTAAAGCATTTTTAGCCAAATAAAAGCATTTACAGAAAATTATTCAAATATATTCTAAATTTACTTTTTAATCTCAAAACAGCTTCTAAGTTTTCAAAAGCTCTGTCAAACGGGCTCTACATATGTATATGCAGATTGAAGCACGTCACAATGCATGGTTGTTATACAACAAATGGACTCGCTTTGTGCTTAAATTTTTCTATTTATTTTAAGAGTAATGTTATTCATCTTCATGGGGGATGAAAACATAATTTATGTGACTTTAAATGATAAGTTAAATGAGAGGTGAAATTAAATTACTTATTTAATTTCACATATCATTTAATATCACATTAACGTCACGTAAACTGTATTTTAATCCCCAGTGGGGATGAATAGTATTATTCTTATTTTAACCACTTGTATTTGTCCCTTTTTGTGTGATGTAATGCAATGCAATTAAGCAAATCACATTCAAAACACGCCAATAATTTGTTGATATGGTCAAGTATTTGGAAGCTCTTTGTCATAGGTTTAAAATTATTATTCACTTCCAAATTCTTGATTAAACTTTTCTTGTCAAACTAGGCTTCGTAGGGGCCCTCTGGGAGGGATGGAGATTTTGAAGAATTGATTTTGCTGTCAAAATCAGGTACAGGGAAAAGGATGTGCAAGGACAAAAAAAGGGCCAAATTTCCGTTTGTACCCTCCGAAGCTGAAGATGCATATTGTGAAAGAATTACTTCAGCACATTTGACTTTTCCATGCTCTTAAAAGCCAACATGGGTCCCACTATCATAGTCACCATTTTTTGTCCTTGTTGGTTTCTTTTGGCAAATTAACGTGCAAATATTTTTATTTTTCTTACCGTGAAATATGAAACGGACCTTGGAAAATTGGTTTCTTCGTCTTATTGTTTAGTTTGGATTAATTTTCACACGATGCGTGCAATATCGCTACTTTTTAAAAAATTACTTGATAACGTGGGACATAATAAAATTACGTTCTACATAATACATTCAAACTTGATGTGCCAAATAATCTCGGAACATATCCCACTCATTT